TACATGTAAACAGGTTATGTTCTCCCTAAATAAAACATGAATATTTGTTTGTGATCCTTTTACAGTTTCTTTTTTTTAACAGAACTAATCGTTTGTGTTTCTATCTGTTCACTGATCATGTAGGTAAATAAATGAGATTTTTTTTCTTTTGAGAATCCTTCAGGTTAAATGTCTGCACTAACACCAAACACATCCAGGCTGCTTTTCTAAAATGACTGCAGAAGTTTGCCTTTACAATTAGAAGGGGATTTTCTTGGTCATGAGACTCTGAATTAAGAAGTTGCTGATGTTAAACTCTTTCTTATTATAACCGCACTAATTTATATATACAGGTCCTTCTCAAAATATTATCATATTGTGATAAAGTTAATTATTTTCCAAAATGTGATGTGTGTTCACGCGATTCGTGGCCGCAGCCTTGTGTCCTCTGCAGGCCATATTTGGACGACTGGCTCATATGTCACACACACACCTTGCTCAATCACATAGACCTATTGGGTCTTCGTGAGAACTGGCAGAAGGGCAACCCAGTTCCGTTTCAGCAGGTAACGTTTCTCTGTATCGCGATGGACTCTCTCTTTATAACTGCTCGACCATTGCCTCAGCATGTCGAGGGTATTCTGCAGATGCTGCCTGCCTTTCTTCCCGGTTGTCCAGCCCCCTTCATTCTTTATCTCTGTCTGTGGGGAAAGCTGACTGCTGCCGCTACGGTAGTAACCCTGGGACTACTGTCTCTGCGACCACTGCAGATGTGGCTCAACAGCCTGAGGCTGGACCCTTCTTGTGTGTCACACCGTCGCAGAAAACTGCGGGTGTCCCCTCAATGCCTCACGTCACTGGCTCAGTGGCGAGATGCAGCATTCATGGCGAGGGGGGGTTCCACTGGGTTCACTGCCATCCCATCGGGAGGTTGTCTCTACAGATGCGTACACCTTGGGATGGGGGGCGTCGGGGCAGCGACAGATCGCTCGGGGGACATAGTCTAACCAGGAAAAGCTGCACCACATCAACGCTGTGGAGTTGTAGGCTGTGCAGTGTGCGTTGCGGCACTTCTTCCCAGACCTGTTGGCAAGGCATGTTCTGGTTCGGCCAGACAACACGTCTGTGGTTTTTCACATCAACCATCAGGGCGGAACACGGTCGATGACATTACCAAGGCTGACCCAGAAGCTCTTGACCTAGGCAGCCCCTCTTTTTGCCAGCCTGAGAGCGGCCGACATTCCAGGGGTGCAGAATGTTCCGGCCGACATCCCATCTCGGGGGCATCCACCACCGGGGGTGTGGAGGCTCCACCCAAAGCTAGTTGGGGCTATTTGGGAGAGGTTTGAAAGAGCAGCCGTGGATCTATTTGCATCCCAAGAGACGACACATTGGCCACTTTGGTTATCCCTGGCAGACAGTGCCAGTCCCCTAGGGACGCGCTGTTGCACGACTGGCCGAGGATGCTTTATGCATTCCCGCTGCTACCCCTGATAGGCCCAAAACTCCTTAGGGTCCTTCAGGAAGGATATCAGCTCCTTCTGGTGGCCCCCCGGTGGCCAGGGAGGACTTTGTTTCCACTGGTGCACAGGTTCTTTTGCAACTCTCCAATGACTCTTCCCCACAGGAAGGACCTTCTGTCACAGCTGGGGGGTCAGATCCTGCACCCCGCTCCCAGTCGCCTCCAACTCTGGGTTTGGCCATTACAGGGCCCGACATTTCCTTCTCGGAGTATGGCGGGGACATCGGACACACAATGACTAATGCCAGGGCCCCTTCCACGCGACTAGTGTACACCTATAAGTGGAAGGTTTTTAGCCGCTAGTGTCAGGAAAGAAATGAGGACCTTGTACACTGTCCTATTTCTGTTATTTTAACTTTCCTTGAAGCACTGCTTTCTCAAGGTCGCTCTCCATCCACTCTGAAACTTTATGTTGCCTCCATCTCTTGCTGGCTTTCAGTGGTGAGTTGGGAGACAGTGGGTCGTAACAAGGATGTTGCCTTGTTTCTGAGAGGTGCCCGACGTTTGCACCTTCCCACACGCCCTGTTGTACCTGTGTGGGACCTATCTCTTGTCCTCGCTGCCCTGCGCTCTCCTCCTTTTGAACCATTGGCGGAGGCAAGGCTCGAGTGTGTGTCAAAGAAGACAGCTTTTCCCCCCACCATGGCCTCAGCGAAGCGTGTGGGTGAACTACATGCCTTGTCTGTTCACAAGTCCTACTGCCGTTGGAACCCGGCTGGTTCGGGCGTTTCTTCCTAAGGTGGCTTCATCCGCGGGCCACACTGTGCCCCTCCAGCTTGCTCGCCTTGATGCTGTTGGGCCTGATGAGCCTTTCTGCCCTGTTCGGGCACTGAAGGCGTATGTCAGACTCACAGCTTCTCTCCGGTAGTTAGTCTGTTCATTTGCTACAAGGGGCAGGCCCTTTCTAAGCAGCACCTTGCGCGTTGGATTGTAGATGTCTTGGAACAACCATACATTCGGCAAGGCCGAATTACCCCCTGCTGGTGTACGGTGCCTTTCCACCAGGGGCGTTAGTGCGTCATGGGTCGCTTTGACTGGTGTCTCTCTGGAAGCTATTTGTTCAGCAGCCTCTTGGTCATCCCCGGATACCTTTTCTAGGTTTTACAGGGTTAACTTGGCCGCCTTTCACCCAATGGAGGGGATCCTATCCCGGTGCGCACCATCTTCTCAGTGAAGTGGGCATGTTTTTCGGGTTGTTTTTTTCTGTATGCGAGTCCTCAGGACTCTTTTGGGAATCGTCATCCGTGCTTTAAGCACCGCCTCTGGCAGTCGGTAGGGATGAAATAGAACGAAAGTTACGACTGTAACTACGGTTCTATGAATCCCGGATGACCGCCAGAGCGCTCAGCCCCTTGGAATCATCGTGTTTTCGCGAGAAGATTAAGGGACTGAGCTGTCGTTTTCATGTTATTATATAGGCTCACCGGTGTCACCGGGGGGTCACACATGACTATGTTGGTATAAGATTCTCAACCTGTGCATGCGCAAGAGTGATCATTCGTGCTTTAAGCACCGCCTCTGGCGGTCATCCAGGATTCATAGAACCGTAGTTACAGTCGTAACTTTCGTATTCTCTTGTTTATGTGTTGGTTAGGTAGGTTATTTTGTAGGTTTGTATATTTTGGTTTCCTGTTGATTTAGGTAAGTCCACTTTTCTTTTTCTTTAGGGTTGTTTTGCTTGTTATTTTGGACTGGGCCCTCCCTGAAGCCTTTACCTTAAGTTATTCAAAAGAAATGACAGAATAAAACTTTTAAAATGCACTTTTGACTCCTTCATTCACTGTCTAAATTTATGTCTGTCCCTTACACCCCCTTGAGTCAGCAAGAGGACGTCACACTCAACAAAGCCTTGTCTTTGTTTAGAAAACATGCTAATTGAAATGAACGGGTCCACCCCTACGATGCAGCGATAGTCGATTCCTTCCCACTATCATCGCAACCCCAACCCTTTACAGAAGACCTAGCCTGTTCAGCCAGGCCAACAATTTCCTTTAACGACCCCCCTTCAGAGACATAGACGGGTATGGTGCATTGCAGGCTAGCAAAGAAGCCAAACGACCCCCATTCCAAAGTGGTGGACCCGTTCATCTGTTTCTATTTGCATGTTTTCTAAACCATAACAAGGCTTTATTGGGCTGCTGGGTAAAACCAGGATATCAACGCTATTTCTGACATTTTGAATTGAAAAATCTTCCTGGATGGGAAGAGAAACGTCTTCAAACTTGGAAACAAAGTCCGGTGGATTGTTTTTAATTTGTTTGGTATGACTATGACCTGGATGACTGGGAATCTTCACCTGCATATGCGTATGTTTCCTCAGACAGTCCGAGGCTGCAGGAAGAGGTCTGGCTCGGTTACTTACGTCCTCCGTCAAACTTTTGCCTGGTGGATGGAGAAGCTAAGTGAGAAGGTAGAGGGCATCTAGACTTTGTCTCCACTCTCATTCCTTTCTTATAGAAACACCTTTGGGAAAAGTGCGTCATCTTCCAGCGGCCTTCTAAAGCAGAGTTGTTGCATCTTGTTTACAGGCAGTTTTAAAGCAAACGCGCGTCACCTTCCTGGAGCGAAACAACATTTAGACGACAGAGCAGGGAGGGAAGTCTGGCATCCGGCCATCTACCTGGACCTTTGTCTTGATGTGGATAATGGAGGAATTCAGCTTCCAGGATCAGCTGCAGAAGCTCACCATGCTTTTGTGTTGATGGATGATGTGTAGGAAGAAGTTTTACAGCATTTACAGGAATACTTTTATACATCTGTGAGCATTTTGTTTTAATAAACAAGTTAAAATCACTATGGTAACATTTCAAATCAGTCTGTACAACAAGTGAAACATTAAACAGAGCCGGCTCTACGGCGCCAGACGTCAACAGTTCTCCATCCGGACCGTCAGTACCGCCGAGCTTCCCTCCGTCTGACGCTGCAGCGCTGGGGAATGGTACTACAGACCTCCGGGCTCCCATCTCGTCCATCCATTCCTCTTCCTGTGAGCCGCTGGTGACGGAATGAACATCTTTTCCAATAAATCGGGTGATGAACAGCAGCTGCCATGTCAGCCCTTAGACCAGGCGCCGTTGAAAGCGGATGATAGATACGGACCCAGAACGGGTGATTCCAGCTGGTTCTGATGGGCCGGGGTGTTGGAGGGAAGCATCTGAAAGGCATCACTGATGCAGCATGGCGGGCTGAGGTAGAGCGGCGGCTTCTTCTTCTTCTACTCCTGCCTCTCTGAGACTTTACACCAACAAAATTAATCTACAACTTAAGTTTTCAGGGTTTCAGAATAAAAGCACCAGCTGTTCTAAGATCAATGGGTTATTTCCAGCACTTCGTACCATAAAAATTAGAAATGAGACACTTTACAGCAAAGTATGCCCGCCCCCCACGCGACTAAGAGACGCTGTTCCTTTAAACTGCAGAACAGGAAGTAGCAACAGATGGGCTCAGGTTCTCGTTTCAAAGGCAGCAGAGGGGGAGATAAAACCCCAAGTGTTCTTCATGATGTTCCAGTGAGAGCAGAGCAGTCCGGATCCGCCCGTCCACGTTCCTTCTGTCGTCATGGTCCTGCGCAGGGGGAACATCACCGCCATCAGTGTGGAGGGGGGGCGTCTCTTCCGTCACAAGTCGGTCACTTTGTTTTCCACAGCAGCTGCGATTTGCTGCAGGCGGTATCCCAGCTGCATCTTCTGGGCTGTGGTGTCCTCCTCCAGAGCCGTGATGATCTGCCGAGAGGAGGACAGAACTAATCAGTGGGTCCGAAAAACAACAATACTGGAAAAATAAAAACACAAACATGTAGTTCAGAAGGAATCCACCATAAAAACAAGGCAAGCTCAGAACGAAGCGATGGACCAAGGTTCACGGCAGGACGCAAGATCCAGGAGGGATTAATAAATGATCCGATGGAAGAGTCCCACCGTGAAGAGAGACGTTTTTACATCATAGAAAAAGTTGTTTTGACTATATTATGTAGTTTTAAAATAACCATCTGGTTGTTTAAACACAGAAATAGGTCAATGACCTCAGCTGTAACCTCGACACTGAAAAGCCATCTGTTGTGGTTCTGCTGGACATTAGGTCCCTGTCACACCTTGTTGATTTCTCCAGCGTCTGCCTGACGTCCCAGAACCTCTCAAAGGCACACTATGCAACATTTCTCAGTTAATTAATGTGTTCCATAACGTTTTGGATGATTAAATGAGTCATTTCAGGTTGAACAAAGGTTTTCTCGGCCGCCCTGGTGGTCTGTGGGGGAAATACCGTACTTGCAATTGCAGGAGCCCTCGGCCCGCACCCACAGGCTCAGAAGTCTCGCGAGAGTCGGTCTTGCTTTAAGGCGAGAACTGCTACACGCCCCCAGTTAAAAGCATGCTCGTTGCTAGCACAGTGGCGATCTTTGTGCAGTTATCATGGCGGAACCAGCGTGAAAACAGCGAAAGCCCATGTCGGAGCAGGCAAGAAAGAAGAAAAGGGCTCCGGACAGAGAGAGGAGTCGTACACGGGTGAACATCGGGCAAGCTTTTTCCGAATGGCGAGAGCTAAAATAAAAAGAAGGCTGCAAGGCTGACGCGGACCTCGCGTTTCTGCTGATGCGATCGTAAGTAACATTGGAATGGTTTCTCTCTCTCTGTGTGCATGTTCATACTTTCACTGTGTTAGTCATTCGTTGCGTTCGCCTGTCTGCTAAGCTCAAAACAACCGCGCCTGGCTTGACGGAGAAACCAGGAGAACAGCTGAGCATATTTACGACAGTGCACTTTTACTTTCGCCCTCTGGGGGGAGCCTCGCTCATAACCCTGCTCATAACTTATACAAACTGTACCCAGAACTTATCCAACGTATGCCAGAGTTTTTGGCAATTTTTTTCATACGTCAGGCATACGCTGGTCTAAATCATGGAGGTGTGACCTGGGCTTTACTGATGTTAATGGAAGGTTTAGTGGAAGGAAGAAAGCATGGCATAGAAAGCCTCACAGCAGCAGGCCTGAACGTACCTGGTCGTAGTACTTGTTGATGTACTTGTAGAGCTCATGCAGTGCCACAAGGTAGTTGAGCTCTCCAGAGTAGTTCTGAAACACAAAGCACTCAGTGAGTCAGCGCCCCCCACCCCACTCCAAGTCCTGTGAATTGGTAATGTGGGGGCTCTCACCCTGGACAGCTCAGCCAGGGCCGAGTTCATCTCCTGGTCACTGGCTGATATCGTCTGCCTGATGTCAGCATAGTACCTGCAGGACGCACGATTAATAACTTCCATTTTTCACAGAATGTTCTAGAAATCTAAACTAGACTAGGAAGAAGGTTCAAGTTCATTTAAACATAGAAATAAACATGGAGCCGGTTTAACCAAAGGAAGCAGCTGAAAGCCGACCTTTCCACCATCTGTTTGTAGCGGGGGATGTCTCTGGCGTACAGCAGCTTGTTGATGGGAGAATCCTGTCCAACAGGGAGAGAAAGAAACAAGTTTAAGGAAAAGACCCCTCATCCAATCAGAGGAGAGGACGGCAGCTCACCCGCCCGAGCTTATGGTCAGCGATGGTGCAGGAGTCCATGAAGGTCTGAGCGATGACGGAGAGCACGGCGTCCACGTGGTCCGACACCTGAACGTCGAAGATGAACTGCGGGTTCTTAATGATGTTGATCCAGAAACGCAGTGGGAGGCTGCAGAGAGACAGCAGGACGTTTAGAGACGCTTCCTCATCCGGATCGAGGTCCGACCGCAACGTTTCAGACCCTCAATGTTTCAGCTTGTCAGCGTAGCATCTCAGCGGTTAGCATGGCTAGCATCACCGTAATCGCTCTCCCACAGGTTGCAGACCTTTGACCTCCCAGCTGCTCTTCTTCAGAGCGGAATTCTACGTTCAGACCGCACGCAGCAGAAGCAACAAAAACGTTGCGTGCTGCTTCATTTTTTGATGCTTGTACCAGTTTAGTTCTGACGCGCGGCTGAAGCATCTTTGCTGCTTTCGCTGTATGGTGGAAAAGTGGGTCTGATGCACGTTGGGCGGAGCTACTCTATCCTTTCTTTGTCTGGAACAATGGCGGCTATATTAGCTGTGATCAGCGGGTAGAAAGTAGTTAGAATCTATGTTGAAGTGAGAAAGTCCTCCTGAAAACATGGTCTGTGCAGTCAGTTCATCCAGATTACCATCCTGCCTTCAAAGATTATTTCTCTGTGGGAGCCGCTCAGACCCCCACATACCCGGTAAGACCAGCATACCTATAGTCAATACCCGTGTATCCCTTTAGTTTATCACTTTAGTTTTGTAGGAAAAATAAACTTTAAACTACATGAACTGGTGTGTTTCCCTTTAGTCGTGTACAAAAAACCTATTTAATTCCTTACTCTTTGGTGTTTTTTGAAGCATATTGCAATCTGATCTTAAAATTTTTTTTTTTACACGACTAAAGGGATACACGCCCATCGAGGTAGATTTAAATCTACTTTTCGTACGAAACTAAAGTGATAAAAGCAAATCTGATGTCTTGAGGGTGCATATTGACAACAGGTATGCTGGCAACTCGTAGTGAGTATTTATTATTTTTCATTGGTGATTTAAAGGATTAGTACACCCAAAACATGATTAGCCTTCA